TTAAGTTTCTTTTTATATCCGCGCGGACAGAATCGCGGGCGATAGTTAGTGTCTAATAAATTTAACGCTTCCAATTAAAGGTTAGCCTCACCCACTCTCTGAACTTATAGGACTTCAAAGTCAATATTGCAATAAATTGAAAAGTCAAAATTGGAGTTGTAGAAATAATGCTTTGAAGCCATACACGTCGAAGCAAGACGTCCGCTACACCCACTCTCAATTATGTAAAGAATAAGAAAGGTTTAAATACAAATACCATTGCATTGTTTACAAGATTCAAATTGTGTCGTGCTCTATATAAAAATACAGGGGCATTATCTGATTTAAGTAAAATGCTAGCTAAGGAAATGTTAGGAATGGTATGGATTCGATTTCCGAGAATTCGAAACTAAATGTCGAGACTATTCGCAATTAGCTCAAAACTATTAGGATGATGCCACACGAACAATGTTCTTCGGAACGAAGCTGCATTGCAGTTTTACAATGTATTATACTACACTTAGTAATACTCAGATGTTGAAATTAATTCAAATATTTGCCAAGAGTGAAACATGCGTCGTCAATAAACGGCGGCTATGTTGTATGGAATTTCTTTTAAATTAATATTTGCTCTAAAATAGTTTGATGCAAAATCGATAATTGAATCGCCACTGTATTCGAGATCCGAATGCAAGCATTCTAACAATGATTGTGTTTTTATTTCATATAACTGTCACCTCTAGCACAATGGACTTAGAGGTCGTTGTACCGTGAAGGCCAGACACTAGACTTGGAACGGGTTCCTCGGTACCCTTGGGCGATGAATCACTGATACATTATGTATGCGATGTCAGCATCACTTTCTTACGAATAGAAATTGCCAACTGATTAAAATAAGGGGTGTCACAACTAGTAAATAATTACGTAATAATACGCTGTCGGTGGATATCCATTTAGTGCAGCCCTATCACAAACTTCTAATACTTTTATTTAATCTCTTAAAACTTTCTACAAATTTTCGCAACAAAAAATCCAGTACGTTTTTTTACCAAACCTTTAGTCACATGGCCGTAAGACCTTATTTATATGTGCTATATACGAATAACAGAATTGTCAAGGAAATATGTCACAAAGAATGAGGTAAACACCTGTCTAATGGCTCAAGATCATTCAGTCCTCAATTTACATTACAACATTCCTAATAAAGATTCTTGACGCAACTCACAGGGCTGTCAACTTTGTTTTTGTAAAAATTTAATAAAATTACATCATATGTATAATTTATTTCTGCTATATACTTTATTCACATGTACCATACAAACATTTTGCACTAAAAAATGTGAATTAATAAAATTAATTTTCATAACACATCTACTTGACAACCCTATCACTAATTTTTCGCATATTAAATATTCCTACAACCCACACTTGAATGAATCATAATATTAATAAAAGCTTATAAAAATACGATAAATACTAGCCATTACATCATTGCCTATTAATAAAATTCAAAGACAATTCGCTTTATTTTTTTGTTTATGGTTTTATTCTAATTTGGGTTAAACTGGCAACAACAATCAGTTTATGGTCAAGCATACCAGTGGGCCATCATCAATCATACTAAGCATACTAATATCATAAATGCGAAAGTTTAGATAGATGGATGGCTGTATTAAGTTTTCTAAATAGCATGCAGACAGAGTCAAGAGCAAAATGCATTTTATGAAATTAAAATAAATTAAATCCGAGAGAGCCTAAATGAGTAGTATTAATAAGTCATTTTCTACTTTCTTAGTTGAGTCATTGTATATATATCATAGGTATCCCTCCCCTAATAATAACAATAAACCATTTATTAATAATATGTGGGTAGGTTATTTAATAATTAATCACAATAGTAATTGTGTACCATAGACAATAGACACCTAACACAGAAGGACTAGATTTAATAATAATAACTTTAGAAACCATACTCAACATAATACATAAAAAAGAGATTTGAATTCAACTGAACATTAAAAAAAATTGGTTATAAACAATGTATAAAATAAAAAAATCCAAATCCGAGCATCAGGAGCGGTTTACATGGTAATACACACAAAAATACAAATTGATAACCTCCTTCTTTTTGCAGTCACATAAAAAAATATTTTTGAGTCTACCATAGACCTAATAAATTGTAAACATAAAGGCATAAAAAAGATTAATCATCATGATATCACATTAAAATTGTAGAAATAAGATATGTTTTTTGCAGTTTCATTACATATAAATCATCAAATTTTTTATTAATTAGCTTGATAAGATTGTCATTATCTTAATGACATAATATAATACTTTGCACTGGGAAAAACATACTATAATATTAGAGACAAGATAAAAACAACTCAAAAATATTATTTAACCTGACATCGCAAAGCCAAATTAAAAAAAATATATAAAAAATTATAATGCAATTAAAAAAACTTCTTTTCGAAGTTGGCAAAAAACATTTGGAATTTTTAGAGCACAAAATGTACTGCCATCTTCAAAACATCACACCAAAGATTCATCAAAATCTGTATGATGGTAGGCAATTTTTTAGGAGATAAACACTTAAATATTGGTTAAATATTATTTTTAATTTTTATATACATTGACATTTAACTGTAAATGAGTCTTGGTTTGGTATTACTCCACAGAAAAGTGTTTGTAACAGAATAAATTACTTATGATATTAAACTTAGTTCTTTAGAGCAAATTTGAAGCAGAAATTTGCTTGTACTGCCCAAATTAGTAATAACAGAGTGCGGAAAATTAAATCTTGATATGATTAGTTAGCAATTATGTGATGTACCACAACTGCAGGCCGAGTCAAAAGCTCTATAGACTATTAACAACTAGCCATTGCCAGCGACTCCGTCCGCATATAATTAAGAAAAAAAACTTTATTAGTCTGTGTTCTTTGACACTATGTTCTACTTCAGTTTCAAATTTCATCAAGATCCATTGAGACATTCCAGATACCTACTAGTAAACATCCATACATCCATCTAAACTTTCACATTTATATTAGTAAGATGTATTGGAAACAACAACACTTATCTAGCAATAGACGTAGTAATCTTAATAAATTTCAGGTTTCTATTGAAATTAAATTGTTACATTTCTTTATCACATTAATTAAACACTTTCCAAAGAACTGTGTAATTTAAATTTCCTCAAATTGTATTTAGGTGAATTGTTAAACAAATTTACATTAATTTGACTTATCTTAAAGTATCTTATATCATAAAATGAATGTCCTTCATGCTTAAATGAACACAAATGTGTCAGGTTTCCAAACATATCAAAGAAACTGTTTTTGTTTGTTTTTTAGGGTTCCGTCATAGGAAAAAAAAACGGAACCTTTATACAATCACTTTGTTTAAATAATTAGTCAAAAATATAAAATCATCAAGTGGCAAGTGGCTCAAAATACTTTTTTTAACAGTCAGACAAAAATAATCATTGAACATAAACCATCTTTTTAATTTTTATATTAATTTAATCTACCATGATGTTATTAGCAGCAAACTGCAATTTAAAAAATTAATCGTAGATGGCTGACAAGTCCTAACTTAGTTGTGACGGTTAAGAAGCCTGAGGATTCATACTTGTAGATATATGTACTGACCTCTATAATTGGAAAGGCTATAAGATATGGTATTTTGTGCCTATTTGATTATTGCCATTTTATGGTGATGCTCTGTAGCAGTGAGGATTTAATATTAATAGAGTTAATATTGTCAGTAAGATTAACAGATGTTAAATAAAAAACACAACATGACTATGTATTCATTGGTCAAAAAGTGATACAAAAAAAATTAACTTCCGTCTTGTTCTTAAACAGTCATAAGGTCTTTTTAAAGAAATTTCAGCATAGTAAATGTTAAAGAATCTGTTTTATTACATAATATATACAAACATAACTACAACAGCTGTATTTTACTCTGTGGGGGGTCAGAGTAGTGAGGGTATTAACCCAAACTATTTTTAACTTCAGTGTTAATGAGAAAGAATTTGAAACCTAAATATTCTGCTTCTCACATAAGTTTGAGGTCAAATGATGAAGCTAAGAAAAATAATCATATTTCAGTTTATGTGTGGTTAATTTTTTATTGAATTTTACATATTTTAATTATTTAATGTATGCAATTAACTCAAAACTTATGTTTTTGAAAGTATGTTTTGTAACCATCCATATCACAAACAGCTGTAGCTTTGATAACTACTTACAAGATTGCTTATTTTTATGTTTTTATATTGTATATGTTCTTTGCAAGTACCTATGACATTCACAAGATCTTGAAAGTGAAATTTCTTTCCGTACTAAACCTTTATTTTCCATTTAAGGCAAGTTTTTTATCTGTTCTCATGTAAAACACTATCAATGATGTCATAAAATGCAATTTCAGCCAAGTGATATATTGCAATTTGCACATACGGCTAAAGATAAAGTTGATAAGATAAACTAGAAAGCTGGTTACAGCTGTGTGAACGCACGCTCCAAAATACATATGTATACTCATACATGCAAAAATATGTACTTACGTCAGGCTATATCTTGATAAAGTGACACATAACTCTAATGGCAAAACACGCCCAATTAATTATTAAAATTATAGCCTAAATGCACTATAGACGTGCAAAACCAACAATTTTGGGCTAGAGTAACGGTAACAATTTATGGAATCCGGCAAAACTGCAACACCGCCGACAATATGACAGACGGTCCTAACATTTTTTGGCACATTCCAGAGCACTCATCACCGTCTGGCGCTCGCTTTGCTAATTATAGAACATACCGCGACGTTAAAAATGACGCCCAAATGTAGACGAAAAACAAAACATCGAATTGCGTCGACCACATCCCACTGCGGACGTTCTCGAAAGCCGTGCACGAACCCACGACGTGGGGCCACGATGCGGTTTAGGGTTGGACAATTTTAATCACATTTCACACTTTAACGGCACATATCGACTTTAAATGCACATAATACCTTTACTTTCAGCGTTTTCCGTAATATCTTTCACGTCATCAACCATCTTGCTCGATGACAGTCACTCACTGTTCACTTTTTATTCGAACATATTTCGAAAACTCATACTTCGTTCACTATTTTCAGCCAGACGGCCAGCCAGCGATCTATACGACAGCGCTTCGTTCCGTTCACTGCCAACAAAGTATACTGCAGTTTGTCGAGCAATCTACTCAAGAAACCGAAGATAGCACGATTTAACAATTTGAATTAAGCTTATAATATTTTTTACTTATTTTACAGATATTTGCCTAACATAGGTGCAGTAAAACTTTTTATAAAATAAATAAAATAAAGTTTTTTGCACAATGGCATAAAGTTAAATTCTTACACATTTAAAAACTGACAAAATTATTTTTAATCTGTAACGTCAAAAGTAGAGAGAGCCATCTATTAGAATTGTTTTTTAACTAACAAATGAAAGAACAGTTTGGCCAATAAATATCCGATAGATGTCGCTTAACTGTAAACAGGTTCTTGTAACGCCGTTTTTGAACATCTTAAAATTGTTTCCTCTTATCGACAACAGGTGGCGCTGTAGCATTAAAATTTTTGGTTCAATAATTAAAGTTCAATGCTCAAAGCTTTCTGAATTCTGAATTGGCGGTTTGCTTGTAGAATAGACTTCACGCAAAGGCCGGGATAAATATTTTAATATAACTTTTGCTAAATGCTTGAAAGATAACTAAATGTTGGTAATGAAAATGTTCCTCGGTGGTAATTTTTAAGAAGATCGAACTTTTTCATAAATTGCTTCCTACACTTTTTAATTTCGTCAATTCAATGTCATCAAATTTTGTTAAGTTGTTTTCTGCCTTTGATAATACATTAGAATACTTAAAATTTAAAATATAATTATTCCGCTTAAATATAACACTGTATAAAATTGTTTCTATTCTTTATCAAGCCACGAGTGGCAGTAACGCAGTGGTTAAGAATACGGTCTAAAAAGGTGCGTTTCTGGTTTAATAAACCTCCTTTCGAATATGACCTATAATAACTTAAAACATCCTAATGTTTTAAGTTGAAATGCGGCGGAAGATGTTATAAAAATAGTAAGTAAATTAACCCTTATTGTGGCAAGATTTCTCATTTGAAGAAAAGCAAAAATCAAAGTTAAAAAAAAAACTAAGTTAAAAATTATTTTATAGAGATCGTATATTTTTATAAAGTTCTATACAAAATGAACATAAGGATTAAAATAATTGCCAATTTTTTTTTCAAAATTGTCAATCTCGTAATGGCGTGGCGATGCAAGAGTTCAATGTTAGCAGCGTGGTCGATTTCCAATCGGACAGGTTGTCGACGAAATGTTGAAAATGTACGCATACTTGTTTGAATGCAATTTATCCCCTACTAGGATTACCACACATTTTTAGTTTGATTGCTTTATTTATTCAAGCTTTGTACACAATACAATGTTTGTAAGATAACAATAGAAATGCGATGATGTACTGGTGACTTTAACTCTAGAGGATTATCTAAATTTAAATTAAATTATGATAATTTATACACTGCATAAGGAAATGTCAGAGCAACAAAGTTGAAAAAAAGTCACCTTGATACTATCAAGTGCCATAAAATTTTAAAAAGTTTGGGTTGCAAGATACTAATCATGTAGTTTAACATCAAAAAACTAAGACTTCACGATTTATTTTTTTGGGAAAGTCCTAGTGAAATTAGATATCGTGGCGAACGTAGTAATAGCATTAACCGATTATTTTTAGATGTCTCGATAGTTATAAATAGCACTACCTTGATTAATTAACTTTTAATTTGGTCGCTTTATAATTTTGTGCGCTCGAGTAAACCGCCTTGCAGAGTACTGGCCAGTCATCGCTCAGTATCAGTCGACGTTTGACTTTCGAACGGTACTAGCCGTTGTAAGGGAAAGGCGCTGTCAAAGTCACAAATTAGCGCATTTCTCGGTGAAAAGTTAACGTTTTTAAAGTTATTTTGAGTGATTCGGTGATGTTTTTATTGAGTTTATTAACTTTATAAATTACTTTTGTAGTTATTGATAAAAGAAATTGAAAAGAAAGACTTGAATTTAATAAATGCATTTATTTAGGTATGTGATAGTGTTCAAGTGAAAGTGATATATATTTGGATGTTTTAAAAATGCAATCCTCTTTGTTTTTATGGGGTGGACTGGTTATAGTGCTTGGAGTTTTAATAGGTGAGTGATTGTGATTGATAAAATAAATAATATTTTTCATAACAATTATATTACGACGCTAAAAATAATGTTATAATTTTGTTTCGAAACAATTATAATTTAAAATATATTTTTACGTTAACTTTGTAATATAACAAATTTAACTATAAATAAACTAAGACAATAACATTCATTCCATTTTCACCAAACTTATCAGATCTATACGAATAACAGTTTTGACAGGATTCGAAATTTAAATTTACGATACTGGTACGATAATACAGGTAAAAAAAAATAATGAATTTGAAATCTAGTAATTCCACTAAATAAATTCTATTTATCTTTAATACAGTTAGGGTTTAGTACTCGTTCGGAAATTCTGATACATAAATTATAGATTAACTGTTGTAACTATAACATTTGGTTTTCGAACGTTTCACGATATATGTAAATTATTGCCGGTGTTTTAGCAAGAATTAATAAATGGCAATAATAAATTTATTCCTAATTTGAATTTTCGAAAGAATGTAACTGGTGATGTTTAAGACCTTGGGTGGTCAGGCGTGAATGTTACAAAAACATTGTTTACTGTAACTGTATTTTTATCATACTAGTTGTCTCCCGTGACTCCTTACGAACTCTATTAAAAATAAACTTTATAGTATTCTATGTGTTCTTCCAGATTATGTTCTACTTCTATGCCTTCTTATTCTTTCTATTCCCTTCCCACCCTTTTTCTTATAAGGAAAGGATGGGAAGTGGAAGTGGACTTTTCGGATGAGAGGATGCATGGAAAGGGAAAATATTTTCTTTCTGTGCTTCCTCTCCTCCGTCGATTAAAGGTAGGTAACGCATATGCAATTGCGTTGCGTATGGGCAACGGTTACTTCGCTATTTCAACGATTTCAAGTGGCCGCTCGCTCGTTTGCCATCTTATGATATAAAAAATGCAAAATTTCAGTAAAATCCATGCAACCGTTCTCGAGACACCGTTTTATAAACATCCATATATTTATCAAAAAGATTCGTATTTATAATACCAGTGATATATAGATATAGATAAAAATTGGTTATTATAAATCATTGTCAGGTTTTTTTAAATATATTGCCTATAAGTTAACAAGAGACATAACTTAAGTAAACTAAATGTAATTTACTGCTTAGTTAAACGCACGTCGAAAATAAAACAAAACAATGAACAGACAGATTTGGAAGACATTTTGCTTGCGAAAATTTCAATTCATTCGACCTTCTCACGACGAAGCGTACGAATTATGTTCAAAAATACAACCAATGTAAATCAAAATCTTACATATTAATCAAAATTCATGAGACGTTTGTCTCTGAGTATAGTCCGAATTATTTGACATACTGATAGTGTCACTGTTATCAGTAAGCTGTTAATTTCTGCCCGCATATTAAAAATATACAATAATATATAATATTTTGAATTAAAACCGGTCATACGTTATTACTACCCGTTATCCGCGACTTCGTTCACGCGGAATTTATTAAAAAAAAAACTTAATTAAACCCTATGTGTTCTTCCAGACAATGTTCTACATTAATGCCGGATTTCATCAAGATCTTTTGAGCTGTTCTGGAGATAACTTCCAACAAACAAACATCCATCCGTCCATTCAAATCAAATTTATAATATTGTTAAGATTAGTCAGATAAATGAAACTTAGTACCGATTTTTAAGAAAACCGCATAACCGGGTGTAAATGAAATTTAACACAATTGAAGTTATAAAGGGAAAGAAGTCCCCACCGAGGGGCTCGGAGCCTACCCTAAGTTAAGGGTAATTAGGCCATAGTCAACCACGCTGGCCAAGTGCGGGTTAGCTGACTTCACACATATCTTCAAATTTCCTCTCAGATATGTGCAGGTTGCATCACGATGTTTTCCTTCACCGTAAGAACGTCGGATAAATGGTACATATGTAAATCAGAAATCGAAAAACACATTGGTACATGGCGGGATTCGAACTCCGGACCTGCAGATTGCAAGTCAAGTGCTTGACCACCACCGATGCTCCAAGGGAAAGAAGTGCATAAAGCTAATTTAATTAAATAAGTCTTTAACTGATTGAGGTCGAATTTAGAGCAATAAGGGACCGATGTATATAACCGCCGCTCAGTCTATCGTACCGTACTTTTATATATGTAAGATATACATATATAATATATGTTTGTAAGTAAAAAGTGACATTTGTAATTTCCGCGGGCGTCGTGTATTGGCACAATGACAGCCTGCGCAATCTTTCAAGGAGGTCCAGTATTACGATTGAAACGTATACTTACGTAATTTTAATCACTTTTGCCATTTCGTTTTTGTTTGTAATTATTTTAAAGTAGCACAATATATTGGACTGACGAAGTAGCCAGCACTTTAAGAGCTTGATAATTACTATCTCTTAAATATCAAGAGTTCGTTCATTCATTCAAAAGACAAAAACAATTATAAATGCGAAAGTTTCGATGGATGGATGGATATTTGTTAGAAGGAGCGGCTGCATGAATCTTGCTCAAATTTTTCATACATGTAGAACATAGTCTGGAACAACACTGGTTTATATGTTTTCTTTAATTCTGCTCTGACGGAGTCGCGAGAGAGAGAAAGTAGATTTTATTTCGATTTCATATACATAAAAAATATTACAACTGAAATAATCATTATTGTTTAAAAATAATGATTTATGCATCACATTTATCATTTGCGCGTTGATGTCTTTTATTCGTTACAACTTCCGTACAAGTTACGATAAAGTCGCCTCTATGTATATTGATTTAAAGGTCAGTATTAATCAACATCCATTAACGATACACTTTCTAAAGAAAGCCGTCCTGTGGTATAATTTGCTAACGATCAATTCAACGCTTAATATCAGTATTCTTTTCGAAATTTTAACTTATACCGTTCAATTTAATTTAATCAGTTAAAAAATAACAATAAGTAATGTATTTTTGTGAACAAACAATTTCCTTTTACTCAT